TGTACAACGTTCGACCAACAGAGAAAAGGCACAAAGAGTTACCTTCGTAAAAATATATTTTGACTTTTATACTAGGTCAGTTTCAAGTTACAAATTCAAATTTGAAAAAAAAAAAAATTAAAATCAACCCGCCATCCCATTTTGTTCGCACATTATTACTGAAATGAAAATAAAAACATAGATTCCTAGAAATATTGTGTGTATGCACTATGCATGCAACCGTGCGACTTTTATAAATCATTGCGTCTTCGATTTTACAAGTCAGTCATTTTATTTTCACAAGGGACACACACAAACACACATAGAGAGAGAAATAATGTGGCACACACTCACATTACATTTCACCCATGAAATAATTGGCCAACGGCGATGTGGAAAAGGTTTATAGACTGATACTCTATCACAAAATACCCGGACGTACCGCCAACCAAATAAATTTGATTAGAATTTTGAAAATTCTCTATCATTTTACACCATTTCGATCATTTTGTATCTCTCATCCAACTCCCTATTCCGTTCTTTTTCTCTTGAATACTTTCTGGTTTTTGCACATATACATTGTCTTCGTTTTCATTTTGAATCAGAATACAAAATATTTCATAATGGAAACGATTCACCGAATTTCTGTAATAGAAAAGAGCCAGTTCTGGCATATGCATGTATGCATTTAATGTTGTTTTCCGTGTTCATGCATGGCACTCCACATGTGAACGGAAATTTAGCCACAGGGAAAAATTGTGCGTAACGCGCAACAAGAAAGCAAATTGTAAGAGAAAATTAGATGAAAAATGAAAATATTAGAGAGATGAATTGGCCATTGAAAATTTAAAAATGTTCTCAATATAAGTATAAAAAGTTTGTGCGTTTCCGATTTTTAGTTTGATCGTGTGAATTTGAGGATTCATTGTGTCAAACAATATTTGTTATGATGCAATTTAAATGGATATAAATGTGCATTTAAGAGTGATTTTATTTTCTTTGGATTTGTCATTTGTGCATCACTTGGATGTTGAATTTTAAATAAAAAAAAACCTTTAAAAATATATTGATTTGAATGGTTTCTATGTTAACTACTTTATTTATATCACTTCATTGCTGAATTGTTCTTTATTCTCATCAAGAAATCCTTTGAAATTGTGAGTGAAAATCAGCCAGAGAAGTGAAAATTTATTGGATTATGCGATTGAAGAAACGTTGCAAAAACTACATCGGCCCGAATGCCTATAACAGTCTCTTTCACATTTTGTATAAGCCAAACAATGAATGGAACACAAACGAATGCACTAACGATGCAACACCAATTACTCATTCTCAATATAAAATAAAGTAAAATTCGGACAGTTTTGATTCTTCATATGTATATTCATCTGTCTCTTTATATTTGAACGATATTGTAGTGATTGAATAAAGTGGCATTCAGTTTGAGGCTACACAGAAAATATCACAGAAGATTCTCATCAACACGTTTGAACCCGATGGCATAAAATGCACTCGGAATGGATTAGGCGTGAGCATCGTCACAAGCCATATATATAGTATAATATAGCATACAAATGAAACTGTATCTATTTATCGTCGTTTCGAGCTGAAGGGCATATTATATAGGTATGATGAGCAAAACCAAAACTATTGAGGAAAATAAACATCAACCGAATGCAAAATGAGAGAAGAACGGTATACTTTATGTGCATTGTTATGGGAATGCATTCGAATGAAAAAAGCACACAAACAAATTAGTTACTGACTACATCCAGGCAATCAGGCTAGCCGATTATTGCAACAAGCACTGAAATGATGCCGAAATGTGAATGCTATTCAACTCGATGCAAAGAAGAAAAACGACAAAATGCCTGATGTTCTGTGGATAAGTGTGCTTTGAGTATGCGTATGGATGACCAAAAAACGGCATCCAACATTCCGACGAAAATAAAAATCGACATGATAAAAAAATGAGACCGAATTTGTATAAATGAATGAATGAGAAACAGAATTGGAATGGAATACAAACCATGTTGGCCATTGTAAGCATTTTCAGTAATATACAAAATATATCTGAGTTCCGTGCGTGTCAAAACTCCGGTATAGACATGGAAAAGTGAGAATAGTACATGAAAATATATGATAATATACATTGTATTCAGCACTCTCTCTATATATATCTCTGTCTGTCTCTTTCTCTTACTCTTTGTCTGTCTTTATCTCTCGAGCTCTATCTATTGCATGCACAACAAGAATATTCTAATCCCAGCTATACATATAAAATTAACTCTTTCGTTTAATGTATGCTGATACATCGTTGTCATTGTTGTTGGCATCGATGCTGTTGCCTCCGTCGCCAACGTCGTCGTCATCGTCGTCACAGTTTCAGCAACTATTATCATTGTTCATTTTAAAAGTAAAGCAAAAAGTATTCCCTCTCTCTCGCTCTCTACGCTATTTACATTCAAACGATGTTCGAGAAATTCGATATGCTCTTGTTGCCACCGGCGGCTCTGCTTCAATAGCATTGGCTGGTGTGTTTGTGTTGGTGTGGATGCATCACATATTCAGTGCATATGATTATAATGGTTGATGGAAAAATTCTCTGGCAACATTAACGTATTTAAAACTACAATGGGAAACGATGTAACGATCGCACACAAAACTTCCATTACAATCATCGAAAACAGCCAAACAGAGTGAAGGAGGGAAAAAAAACGAACGAAATTTAGATACAGACACCGAAAGTGCATTCAAGTGGAAATGGCATTGGTAAAATAGTGAAAAACTGTACAACACTGTTTAGATGTGCGTTATTTCGTTGTTCCATATCTCGTTCTCTCTTCGTTATCCTTAAACGTTAAAGTGCATTCAAATGTCGATACTTGCACGCCATTTTTGAAAATTATTATGATTATCAAAAGGGTTTTTTTTATTGTTTCGCTTAACTTGTTGGTACACTTGTTTGCCCAAAGATTATTACCATATGTACCAAATAAAGATGCATGCAATTGTATATATCTCAAACGAACACAGAGATCGTGCGCTACTGCACAAAAATTAAAAATAATCACTTGCAACCGAAGTGTTGCGCCCATATGTCGAATTTCCTTGAAAAATAAAGCACACACATACACACACAAACTGAAGCTCATAAAAAGCCGACGAATCCATCGAGTGTATACTTAACACTTTAACGCTCGCTCACAAAACAGCACTTGAAATAAAGTTCGATATTCAACATTAACATGTGAAATGGCAATACTAGAGCATTTTATTCATTCCCGTTCTTTCTCTTTCTTTCTCTGCTCTCCCAGGTGGTGTTCCGCGCTGCATTCTATTTGATAAATCATCCAGAGGGTATTTCAATTGACACTTCACTATTTCAAGTGGTTTTATCGAAAGGTACATTTCGTGTATGATATGAGTTGATTGGCATCCACCATCAGTGAATAAATTAACGGGCTATTTTCTTTTTCAATGCAATCCATTGCGGTTGTCCTCGTCATTTATAAACCATTTCATTCTGTCTCTTTCTCACTTTATCTCAATTGGTGTGCATCGGTCGGATGGCATCTACTTTGAAATAATGTGAAAACGAAATGTTTTAAGTACCGTTTATGAGCTTTACTCTGGCAAAAAGTTACGAAAATTCATATATTTTAAAGCAATGATCTTACAGTGAATCAGGCAGCGAAAAGTATATATGAATAAATTATGTGGCATTACAGTCGGGTGAGGTACAATGAACTTTTGGCCTAGGCCATTTTGTCGCGTTTTTGGTGCGTTCGCGTTTATTTAAAGTGTATTAAAAGTCGATTATTTATCTAGTGTTCTATGAATGTGTTTGGAGTCGACAATTGTGGGCGACATGCATTTTCTCTAGAGACCGTGTAAAAGCCATGAATAAAAAAAAAATGCCACCATCGAACCATAGAAATGTCCGTGCGCCGTTTCGCATACACACACACACATGAACTGAAGCATTTTGCTTTATCGATTATTATTGTCTGGTGTGTGCGTCGGAACGGAAAACTTTATTCTCATCCAAACTTTGAAAGTTGCTTTGAGCATCTGTTTGTCGCCGTCTTTTTATCGATTTATAAATTATTCTATTTGGCTAATTTTTAAGTCGCCTTGATATTTTGTCGTCAAGAACACGAAACCAAATTGCATTATCGCCAAAATCATGGACGGTATCGTTTATCAACACGAACACAACGAAACCTACCCTTTTACGATTACCACTTTTAACATTATTAAATATTAAAATAAGTTTTTTGCAACACCTTCTGTTTGTTGAGCTGATCAAACCATTACAGAATGTTTACCGTTTTATCGATAATTTTAATCAGTTTGTATACATTTCAGACACAAATTGTACATAGTATTATGATAAATATTTACACAAACAAACAGCGAATAATCATGATGAATGCAGTTTTTTGGCCGAAAGAGAGAGAGAGAGAGAGAGAGAGAGAGAGAGAGAGAAGGAAAAACATATCCATATACAATTGCAATCAGCACGGATCATTTTTAATTCAAAATCGATAAATGTTGGATTTAATCCATCTTAAGAACTAAAATCCTTACCAAAATTGTAATATTTCTTGTTCCTTTGAATTACGTCGATTTTCAATTGGCAATTAGTGAGATTCACATTTATAGTTGTGTATAATTTGAGTTTGACAGCAAAAGGGAACAAAATCAAATTCACAATTTTAAATGAGAAATCTGATTGTATGGCAAATAGGGTAGGGCATTGTATGCTGTGTTTTAAATATCGTTAATTTCGAGTCTGTAATTAGTGCGAAGTGGCTTTTAAAACAAAATCATCAATGAGTTTGTTTATGATTTTTATGACAACTGTAATTAAATGGTTCAGTGAAGGTTTGGTAAACCATCCGAATATAGGAAATGTGCTCGATGCAGACAAAAAAATTATACAAAACTCATATCAATGTGACGGTAAATCGATATATAAATGGTAAATGTTCCGATATAAATATTTCAGTCGTGCACTTGCTTTGAATTAACTACACAACAAGCAATCAAGTAATTTGTCTATGTCAAAACAGAAGCGAACAATACCCCCCAAAATACTGGAAATTCAATTTTTACTGAGTTTTTTTTTTTTTTTTTTAAAGAAAATTATTGGAAAGGAAATCAACGAAAGAGCAGCTATTATATGAACGTGTGATTTGTTCTGTACAATAAAGTATATACAGTGCGCGCAATGGAGAAAGCCAACCAAATGAATGTCCTCAAATTTATGGTCATAGCTGGCGTGATTGCATCACAAATACCAGTTGAATGTCACGTATGTTTTAATTTACAATTTGATTGATGATTTGTTTGCATTTTGTACATTTGAAATAAACATTTTGGAAAAATATCAAAGAATCAAACAAATGCAGTAATAACAGCAACAGCAAAAAGTACCAACAAATCAGACATCGAACAGCAATAGCCAGGCAAACTGGCAACAAAAAAGTGAATGCATACAATATGGCAAGTATGCATGAAACGTGGTTTTTCTGTGATGTGGCTGTTGTCGTTTGTTGTTGGGTTTTTTATTGTTGTTGCATATAAAAATTTTTATGTGTTTTACAGCTAGAAAATTCATTTGAAATCGAAAAATTGGATTGCACCTATGATGCAAGCTATTTTAATGAAGGCAGCGGAGAATGTGCATTGAAAGCGGTCGACGGTCGAAATAAATTTGTCAGTGGTCACGGTGAATTAACAAAGTCTATCGATGAACTCAAGGTGAGTGTAATGCTGTGCAGAACACAAACTAACAACAATGTTTCTTTCTCAATTCCGAAAACTTGAAAATAAAAAATGAAATGCAATACATAACGTGTTTGGTGTGTGATTTGATGTCGGCCAATTGTGCAAATGTTCCACATTTCCGCAGGGGACAAATGAATTGAGCAACTTGATTTAAATAGAATCTTAAATGATTTAGTGTTATGACTCACAACGCCAGACTTTCATATGAATCGCATACAATTTATTCACATTTTTTTCTCTTTTTTTTTTCTTGCTGAATGAATGATGTCAATTTTAAAATGGCTCCTCTACCAAAATACAAGCAAGCAAAAAGAGAATACGTCAAATCTGAAACAACGTTAAAACTATAACAATGTGACGATTTGATTACCGAAATGTTTTCTAAAAGTGAATGTAACAGAAGTTAATGTGAATTCGCAAATGTATCTCATTACTATAAAACTATCTATTGCATTTCATTTAGTTTTATTCATTGTGCCATCACATTCTCATGCTGTGTAATTTTCTCTAAAAATCAATTTTAAGATCAACGTTCAAGTGTATTTTGGAGATGAAAGTGCGTTGGCAGACGGCCATTTTAATTTATTGTTCAACATTTCGGAAAATCTGTGCCATTTGGCTGTTGAAGCAAAGACGTCTGGTGTTGCATCGATGGTTCGTCCTATATGGCAACAATATACAAACTTGCCGCTCGAATGTCCAGTCGAAACAGTAAGTATAAAACCATTTAAACTCACACAAAAATCAGAAAAGAACCAAAATAAACCGATAAACGATTCACTTGGCTGAATGTTTTATGATTTGCAGAAATATCTGATTTTTTTAAAGTCATTTCTGCATGATTAATTTAAATGTAAATGTATAGTTGCTATTTTTTTTCTCTATCTCTCGGTCAATTGATAGTTTATTGAGTGTTGTTTGAACGATAAATATTAAATTTATTGCTGAATTTAACTATCGATACTAAAAAAAATCGCTGACTCGCTTCATTCTGTTCCGACTCAAGATAATTGTTTTATTATGATTTTTTTGGAGGATAGCTAATTCTTGATGACTTTATTATTTCATTTGATTCTTGATTCTTGATTTTATTTCTTGCAAGATACTGATTGTCTTGTAGCGTTTAATTCAGATCGTCTTTTTTCAGGGAACATATTATTTGAACGACATGGACTACAATGATTTAGCTGGACAATTTATACCGGTTACTGTTCCAAATGGACAATATAAAATCCACATAAAAATTCTTCATAAAAATGACACCGTATTGAGTGAATCAATTTTGCTGGCAATCACAGCAAAAAAATCAACTTTAAATTCAGAATAATTATTTGACGTACATATAACGTTGATTATGGTCCTCGAAAAAATCGCAATCTCTTCATGGAATCATATATACCGGCATCGTGTTTTTCATTTTGTTTTGTGACTGTGTGTGTATTCAGAGTTCAATTCAATTCGTAACCACTTTACATTTTATTCAATAACGAGTTGTTACTGGTCTGTTTGGTTGGCTGGAAACATTAAGAATATTTTTATTATCACGAGTGTTATGTTTATTGTTATTTTGTGGTAAATCATTTAATTTCAATGGATAAATACAATATTGGGTTGAATTTGGTTATAAATATTTATTTTTTTCGGTACTGTATGTCGATTATCTTTCGGGTTCCTCATTTTGCAACTGGCACACTAAAATAACGCTGATTGCCATCAGATTAAATGCAAACAACATTTTTGTACTTTAACTTTATAGCTTGCTTGATATCCCTGTACCATCTTCTCTCTCTCTTTCTCTGTGATATGGTTCGAGAACACGGTAATTTTTTCATCATCATCAAATCGATATTATCAGGTGATCGACTGCAATAAAATTAACGAACACGAAAAAAAAAATCCATTCAAAATGGAAAACATTCCAAAAATGGATGAGCAAACAGAAGATGCAGCAGAAAAAAAACGACTGAAATTAAAATGCATAAATTTGCAAGTAATTTTACATTGGATTTAAACCGACGATCCAAAATGAATTACAAGAACGCCAAAGATATTGTTGTTGCAAAAATTCCAAAACAACAATCGCAAAAAAATAAATGAATCACCAATTTACCGGTAATCGAAATGCAACTCGATTCAAGTGAACAAACAAAACAAAAATTGATTTTTCAATATGATCTAAAAAAAGAAGAAGAAGAAATAAAATCATCTCTTTAATTCGAAACAAAATACTTGTGAACCACTGAACGAATGAATGACTGTCGCCATATAAACGCAAGGTGAAACAAATTGGATAACCGAAAGGCAAGAAATAAAAATGAACAAATAAACCACAACATTTCAAACCACAATGACAACCTTTTTTTATGTTTTCTTCTCGTTTGTTGCCATAAAAAAATCTATTCATAATGCACACGACAATAGATTGTTTTCATGTAAATTCATATAAAATCAGTTTGAAATACCAATGAACAAGGTATAAATCCAGCAGTGTACACACAAATTGCAAATGCAACAAGAGGAATACACGGGTAAAAAGTAAGGGAAAGAGCACAAATTATTCGCTAGAATTCATTCATAAATGACGATGAGTGATGTGCGCTTGCGCACTGCCCAACCATTGCGCTGCTGTCAGTTTTCGAAGCAAAAAACGAACCAAAATTATCTACCGAATTTTTTTATTTCGCTCTCTCGTTTATTGTGTATATTGAATTTACCACGCACATTTAAATCTTGATTAAATATGTAAATTTGATTAACCGATTGCTCATGGTGGCTATATAGATGCAAAAACACACACACACACACCCCGAACAAAATAAAAACAACAAACACGTGAAAAATCAACATTGAAAACGACAAAAATAAAACCAAAATACTATGGTATACCATTTGAAAATGCTACATTGAAATTGTTTATACATATAATATTTGCATTAAAATTTCAACAGACAGTCGTTATACTATGTTTGATCATACAGATGTGAGACAATTTCAACCTTTCTCACTTAATATCCCTTTTTAACGAGAGATTCGAATGAACATACAATCATTGCACACTCTTTTTTTCGGTCCGCGGTAGCAGTAGCGGCTGCAGCAGCGACAGTAGTACAACAACAAAAACAACACCAGCAAATGCGACAGCCCGAATTTTTATCCATATATTTTATCTTTAATTTTGTAATTTGATTTCGTTTCATTTTCAGTTTGCTCCATATGCACATTATTTAAGCATATAACCAGAATAAATGGTAGCGCACAATTGACAACCGCCAAATCACAGTGCTTGCACTCGGGCTAACATGCATATTCACATGCTGCCAAATGGGAGATGAAACCAGCGAGCGCACGCGCGAGCACATATAAAAATCACAATCGCTATAATGGCACAGAAAAAAAAGAACATATAAAAACGAATTGCAAAATGCCAGTTTATAATAATTAACTATCGTTAAAAATGTCTGGCTGAAGCATGTGAGACAGCGTCGTTTGCGACGAATTAAAGCAGATGCTTATCTCTATCTCTCTTTCGTTCGTTGGCTGTTCTTTTTTTGCGAAATACGATGGAATTTTCAGCATCGATTGTTTTGGATTAGAATTTGTAATAATTTTTTTTCTATCTACACAATTAGAGCACAAGATCTCGATGTAAACGCGCCTATCATCAAGATATGAACTATATTGTGTATATGTGTACAAAAATGGTAAAACACACATTTTTAATACCACAAAATCGGTTGAATGTAAAATTGAATCTCATTAAACCAAACGAAACAAAAAAAAAATGTTTGATATTGTTTCTGCTGTCACACCGTTACTGTTGATTGCGACACATGCAAAAATTGCACCAAAAAAATAAGCGACAGACACTGTGTGAAAAAAAAAAAATATTATTGATCGAACTGTGGACTTATCATTACGCATAATCTGTTCAGCAATAGCGATGAAATCATTTGCGTCAACAATCAATGTGCCTGTTTATTTTAATTCGTTTATTCGTTCGCGATATTCATTCACAAAATGTGATCTCGAGAAAATCTAGATGTTGAAATAATTCAATTCAATTTGGAATTTCAAAAATCGTGGTTTTAATAGGAAATTGGTGATAGGTGGAAAAAGCATTTTCACAGCGATCAAAATGTATATACCATCCCGTTTGCATTGCAGATTTATCGAATCGACCACCACAGTCTGTGTCGCCTAACTTTGGCTATTTGTTCATTCACTGCATCGTAATAGTGTATATTTATTTCCAAGTCAATTCTCCAGTCGACCAATACATTCGCTTAATCATTTCACAAATTCCCATGTATCATCCATTCAGTTTATTTGCCAGAAGAACTTGTTTGTTTTGCGTATATGATATTTAATTTTCAATCCGACCGACATCATCATCCTCATCATCATGATCATCGTCGTCATTCAATGGCAACGGTCATTCATTATATATAACTTAACGAATGTTGACACGCATTTCCGTTTCGATTCGATTTCATCGATTTGTGTTCGATATCGTTTGTACATTTTGTAACTTGAAAACTTTTGCTTCAAGACAATTCATTGTGGTTGCATGTTGGAATCGAAAACAATGCACCGAAAATTGGATATAATAACTCCCAGCTCCAATCGTCAATCGACTGACTATTTAGATCGTTAGAATTTAATTAGCATTTTGTGTTTAAATCACACTTTGTCTATGTTTAAATTATGAAACATTTGTCACACATTTTTGACACTAGAGTTTCTTGTTTCTGAAATACAATGCCAATTATCAACTACGTTATTTACGTATAATAAAGCTGTCGTACAATTTTGATTACTCTTTTCATTACGCCTCCATCCAACCCCACAACAAACACAAGAACCATTGTATACTTCAGTGAGTGCATGGTTCAATGAGTGTGTCTCCAATTCGGCCCGACTAATTTGATGATGTCAAAAATGCATTGCATATATTTCACACGATATATCACAATATTCTATTGTTTAATCATATGGATCAATAATCAAAGATGCGGTGTGACAACAACATTTTGAATTATAGGCGAGCAGTAACAGCAGCATAACAATGATATTTACATGTAAATACATACAAAATTAGAACTTCGGCATAATGTCTCCATAATGGTTCATATTGAGATTTGGTTTTTCGATAGTGGCGGCTGTAAATGATAAGACCAAAGAACATGTCATTTTGCTCAAGCAAAAGATAAGCGGTTTTTTAGTCTTTTCAATTCATCAATCGATTTGTATTTGAAATTTGAATTTTATTTTCAAAAATGCACCACCGCCCATTTCGTTTTACTATGAATTTTCGTGTCAATTAAGAATCATGTTCCACATTGGCTTCGATATATTGTGTATTAATTCCAGCTTTAATCTGCTTACACGGTGACATTTTGTTTGTCATGAAATGCTGAATAATAAAGCATGCTTTACGTCGTGTGTCTCTCTCTCTCTCTCTCTCTATCTGTGAATATTTTTTTTCTCTTCAGTACACAATGTACAATTCATTTCGATTTATTTCGCATGTGTTTTATTTGTTTGTTTTTTTTTTTTTCATAGAATATGAACAAACAATTTGAGCACATAACACGGAAGCGGAGTATAGCGAACAGAAGTGCACACTTTAAATCGGATGTTTATAAATTACTCAGCAATACCTTAACAACGGATGAAATATATCAAATGTTGAATGATGCAATTGTCAAGGGCTCATCTCGATGTTTGCATATTTATATGTATAACGAGCATAGCGAATTTCTCATGTATTGAATTGATTGTCGAATTTAAAAGCGCAAATATTTTAGATTCAGCATTGAAATCCGACGATATGTTAGTAATTTAGGGGGTCAGATTTCAAAGGGGTAATTTTTAAAACTACATCTTATCTATTATAAGCTTCTGGACAAAATTGACGTTGAAAAAACCCATTGTTTTTTTGCCAAACACCCCACTAAATCTAAAGAATTTTCCGAACCTCAGGGGGTTCCAATCCTCCGTTTCATATTGTATGGGCTTAATAATTTAAATCATTCTTCAAATCAATAAGACATAATGCAAATTGCATTCAGACCAATGAATTTGACGCCGAAGAAATGCATTTATAAATGATATTTATACTGTCGGTAACCGCTACAGAAGTAATTGATATATCGCGTGAAATTCTATCTCGAAAGTAAATGTGATGGGAATGATGAATATAGTAAAATCAATACCATTTGAAAACCATAGAAGCACATATTCTTTGAAGAAAAGTCAAAAATTCTTTCAATTGGATAGGGATTTTCGCCGAAAAAAGTGATCTTCAAAAAAATGAAGAATACATAGAACGAAATGTTTTGAACAAACCCTCCTCGCACCAAATTCATTTTACCCCCCGAGATTTCACACCGTCAAAACCTCTGATTTCACCTCCACTTCATGTCGTCTCGTTTATTCTCATGTGAAATTTAAAAATATTTGTTATAATTCTTCTCGCAGTTAATTGAAAAAGACTAATTCAATACTATTCAGA